TAGATCTAAATTTCATTTCTACATCAAGCTGACCTGAACTGACACTGAATGCTCAAAAAAGGATCTTGGGAGTCTTCAGGCCTTCCAGATGCAGCTGAATGACAATTCCAGCTTCCATAATTAGTGATAATAGATATCGAAATACTGAAAGTAAGATTATAATATGATCTAGAGCACAGGAAGAAACTTTTTTGTGGCCGAGCTTATGGTTTGTAAACACCATGGTGTGATCTGTGGGCCTGGGCTCAAATTTTCAGTTTTGGGGATATCAAAGATATTAAGGGGTCAGCTGAATGCTTTAAGCCTCTTAAAAAAAAAACCCAGACAGGAAAGATCAGACCAATTTGGGAGGTGAGTAATTTTTAAAGTGTAAAGTGGGAACTTTAAAATTTAAAACACCTTTAAATTACCAAAATCCTCTGAAAAAATTGTTCCCACCCACTGCGTGAGTCCAATGAGGCCACAGAAGAAGACTGTGAATTACAAGTTGACCACCTGATTTAACAGAATAACAGAGTTGGAAGAGACCTTGGAACCTTCTAGTCCAATCTCTTGCTCAAGCAGGAGACTCTATACTATTTCAGACAAGTGGTTGTCCAATCTCATCTTAAAAACCTCCAAACATAGAGGACCCACAAGTTCCAAAGGCCACTTCTGAAGGCCACAACATAGATCAAAGAGGCCATCTATATTAAAATTGAAGAACCCTCTCTCAACAGAAGGGGAGGAATAGGACACCATCTATCTCCTGTCTACAACACAATCTTTCAGCAATTCCAAGAAAAGTTCCACGTCCATTTGCACTCTGATCCAGGTGACTCTGAGGATACAGATAAACCCCAAGTGGCCTCAATGACTCTCAGAGAGCTAGCACTGACCCTCAGAGCAGAGTGCTAATGACGAGTTGACTGTAAAGAATATAAATCTTTCCATTCCCCACCATTCAGTCAGAACTTCTTGGATAAGAAATGAAACATATTCAAGGAAAAAACCAAGAAGTCCAGTTGCCTTTTGGAAAAGCACCTTTGGGATATTTTCTTGCCTATTTTGACTTGCATTCCTAATTTGCATTTTATGGTACCGTATATGCCGGTGTACAAGGCGACCTGGCATATAAGACGACCCCCGTCTTTGTCGCCAAGCCGCATTCCTAGAACGTCGTCTTATACGCCGGAAACTACCAGTATTTCCGGCATATAAGACGACTCGGCGCATAAGACGACCTCCGTCTTTGGCGCCGATTTTAACGCTTGTGGAAGTCGCCTTATACGCTGGCATATATGGTATTTTTGATAGGTTGAACTGTTTTTTTTCCTTTTGTGTAAAGACAGTTGCAAAAAATGAGTTAATCAGTTCTGCTTTCTTCCTGCTACTTGTCACCTTCTTGTCATTTTTTTCCCCATTAGTGATTCCCAGTTTAACATATTAGTACCTTGAAGAGACAATGAGAGCCAGTTTCATATAGTGGTTAAGGCACCAAGCTAAAACTGGGAGACTGTATGTTCTAGTCTTGCCGTAGGCTTAAAGCCAATTGGTTGACCTTGGTCTACTCCTTCTCTCTCAACCCTAGAAAGGAGGCAATGGCAATTCTGATATCTTGCCAAGACAACTGCAGGGACTGTTCCAGGTAGTCGCCAAGAGTCAACAATGACCCCCCTCCCCAAATACGATGAATGGAATAAGATTGACAAAAAAATTATTGGCATGGACTGAAGTAATGGAACAAAGACAGTTCCATAGGTAATACAGCCTATGCCTTGTCTGGCTTTAAAGGCCATAACCAACACCTTGAATTGGACCCAGAAGTAGGCTGGTATCCAGTGCAGCTCACGAAGCAAAGATGTTACATTTCTTTGTGCCAGTCTATTTGACTTTGTGCCAATATATTTGACTTTGTGTATATAATTGTACACTGATCTTGTAGTTTCTTATGCACCCTCAATAACTAGGAGGGATGCCTGCCATGTAAACAGGAAGAATATTCTTGGGAGATTAGTTATTTTATCTATTTAGAGGCTCAATAACTACAGAGGAGGACAGGATTAGAAGGCCACTGTGAATGACATGCATATGTAAAATCCAACCTGACAATAAAAAGCTAATAAGAATCTGTGGCTATTTCATAGAATGAAAAAGGAAACATTATCTTCCACACATTTTGAAGATGATCCTTAAATTGCTCTTTTGGATACTGTTGCAGATATTGAGCATTTCAGGATCATTTTGGAAGTAGGGATGCAGGGTTTCATCTACTGTCATTAATAGATTTCTTCTTGCATTTGGGGACTTCTTCATATTCCTCTCCCCAATATAAGAGCTACTTGCATCATCTCCATAGCCTATTCCAGGGTATTTTTTTAACATCCACATTGACTTTGGAGTGTACAGATGAGATGTGCAGAGGGATGAAATGGTTGAGGGAGTAGAAGTTATGGGGATTTGGGGGGAGCATGACCATGACATATTTGAATTCACCATAATGCAACCACAGGTAACTGAACGTCAGATTAGTGCTTTAGACTTTAAGAGAGCTGACTTCAGTAAGCTAAGAGAGAGACCAGAAGGATTCCATGAATAGATATTCTAAAAGGAAAAATAGTTTAAGACATTTGGGAAAACTTGAAAAATGAGATAATGAAGGCCCAAGCAAAAACAATACCATGGAGAAAGAAAAACGAAAGACATCATACAAGACCAGCATAGTTGCATAAAGAGCTCTCTGACAAATTGAGGGACAAAAAAGTGAAATATACTAAAAAATGGAAGAAGGGACACTTAACTAATGTAAAATACCAAGAAGCAACCCAAATCTGCAAGAAGGGAGTCAGGAAAGCCAAGGCCCAGAGTGAACCAAAACTAGCTGCCAATGCCAAAAATAATAAGAAAGTTTCCTTCAGTATGTAAGGGACAAGAAGAAAGTCAAGGAAAACATAGGCCCACTAATGGGAAGGGATGGCAAGAAAGTAACAGGCAAACAGGGAGAAAGCAGATCCCATATCAATATGAGATAGACAGTACCACCACTAGATGGATTCACAAACTGTCTAACTGAACTCAGTGAGTAGTCGTCAGTGGAAGTACATCTAAACAGAGGGAGGTATGCAGTGAAATATCTCAAAATTCTGTCTTAGGCCCAGTACTCTTCGACATCTTCATAAATGGGATAGAAGGGGAACTCATCAAATTTGCAGACGACACAAAACTGGGAGAATAGTTGATGCTTTGGAAGATACGTTCAAGATCCAGAAGGATCTTGACAAACTTGAGCACAGGGCCCTACCCAACAAGGTGCACTTCAGTGGTGAGAAAATTAAGATCCTGCACTTAGGCAGGAAAAACCAAATGCATAGGTATAAAATTGGCGGTACCTGACTGAACATTGAACAGTGGTAATTGTGAGAGGGATCTATCTAGGTATCTTAGACTACCACTTAAGTATGAGCCAGCAGTGTGCTGTAGTTGCCAAAACTCCAATGCAGTCCTAGACTGCCTCAACACAAGGATAGTGTCAAGACAACGAGAAGTGATAATATGGCTTTACACCATGCTGGTGAGACCATACTTGAAATACTACGTCCAGTTATGGTCATTATAATATAGAAAAGATGTTGAGACCCTGGAAAGTGTGCAGAGAAAAGCAACAAAGATGATAAAGGGTCATTAATTTAATGAACGGTTGAGGGACCTATGTATGCCTAGCCTATTGAAGAGAAGCTTCAGGGGGAACATGATAACTGGCTTCCAGTGCTTGAGGGGCTGTTACAAAGAAGAAGGGACTGACTTATTCTTTAGAGCACCAAAAGGCAGGGCAAAAAGTAAAGGGATCTCATCAAAGAGAGAAATAAGAAGAAATGTTCTGACAGTGAGAATAATTAATCAATGGTATAGCTTGCCTCCTGGGTTGTGGATGCTCCATCACTGGGGTTTTCGAAAATAGGCTGGACAACCATTTGGCTGGGATGGTATAAGACTTTTGCCTTGAGCAGAGCACTGGACTAGAAGATCTCTGAGATTCCCTTCTAACCCTACGATGGAAGAATCCATTTCCATTTGGGGAGAGAGAGAATTAAAGCTCTCTGACAAAATGAACCAGAGCTAGGTAAAGCATGAATGATATTAATAACTTGTGATAATAAGAATCTTTTAAGAAAGGAAGTTTACAGCGGCTTTCAGTGAAATAAATTCAGGGAACAAAATTATGTTTGAACATTTTTGTGTGGAAGGAGACTTAGTGTTAGCTATCTTCCAGTGCTTTTGCTAAATGTTATAATTTCTGGGGATTTTTGCCTCTACTGTAGATTTTTATCATTTGATGATATGATATGATCTTTCTGTATGACATATACATTTATATTTAACATCTTTTTCCTGATATGCTCAGGCAAGTCTTGAACAGAGAATAAGAGAGGTGTGCTACATTAGGAATTCATTGCCTTATCTATTTTCTAAATACTGTATATTGTTTACATATATTGTTTTAAATTTTGTTGTAGATTCACTTATGTGTGAGACAGGCAACTATATAAATATTGCTAAATAAATAAATAGCAGACAGGAGGCAGGACAAGGGTAGGGAAGAATGCAATTGGTGCACTGTCTTCTTCAAGTCTGTTGACTTGAGGAAGGAGAAAGGAAAGGAAAGTCATTCTGCCTTAGCATAAAGGAAATGTATTGCCCAAAAATCCAGTCCAGCTTGACATACTTTCAGGGAATGAAGACCATTGTGAAGTCACAGATTATACTGAAAGTTGAAGAGGAAGCTTCCCTGAAAAACTAGTGGGGCATGAAGAGAGATGAGCCACCGGGCCCTGTTCTTATTTCCTTTTGAGGTTGAATTTCTGTTTTTTTTTTGTCTTTTGTGAATGAATTTGTTTCCCAGAAGAAGTCCATGGATAGCCCATGAGATGGAAGAGAGCAATTGTTGAGCTGATACTGCAGTCTTAACATTTTATTTTCATGGAAATCAAATAATTAATGGGTGGATATCCTTTATATTTTAGGCTTTTTGATTTGGATCCAGATCTGTTGCCCCTTTTCAAGTATAATTGCAAGAAGTTCTCTACTACTCAAGAATGCCTCTCATCCCCTGAGTTCCTGGAACACATTAGAAAGGTGAGGCTTTATAAAATAAATTACCCCAACTGGTAAAGTTTATGTTAGCAGATATACAGCTAGTATAAAGGTGGATCAGATAAATGTAATGGTTATTTATAGTGGATCAGCATAAATTTGTAACTCCAAACTGTAAAACCTGTGTATTCTTGTCAACTATTTAGCTTCTCATTTTCTTGAAAAAATATGGAGATTTTAAACATGTGATAAATAAATGTTTCAATGTAAAACTTTTTATCATGCCCATGGTGGCTTTATGAAGGTATTTCATCTAATCCATTGTTAACTATAAAAACTTATTGAAGTTATTTATTTAAATAATTTATATGGCTGCCCATATTACAGCATTAAACCCAAAAGGTATAACCTGTGATGTTCGAGATAAACAATATACAGTATCCCATTCATAAAATCACATCTACAGCAGAGCTTGCCTAACTTCCTAAGTCTGGGGCAACAATCATATCTTCAGAGTATTATGAAAGTCTAACTGGATTAGGGCCACCCAGATGTTCAGGAGATGCTGTTCCACAAGGCAAGTCTGCCAGACAGAATATGCGACTCCTGGGTTAAACAAGATATTGATTTGGAAGGGACCAGAAGATGCCCACCCTGCTAGAAAAAGGCAGTAGCTTGGCCCTATGCCATGCATAGCTTTATAGATGAGTTGCATCTGAAAGTCTGGTGAGAGTTAGGACAATTCGTGAGCAGTCATGTAACATGGAGGCATTACTTGGTTGGTTTAGGGTGGAGATGTATAACTGGTATCACAAGCATACTGTTGATATACTTTATGACATATATCTTATGATGACAGATGACCTTGCCTAGTGGCTTTATGTAGATGTTAAAGAGGAGTAGCATGAGGATGCAGTCCAGAGGCAACCCACAAAGAGCAGCCTCAGGCGCAATTTTTTCTCTCTCCAACACCAACTGGAATTGGCCTCAAAGAAAGGAGGATAATTGCCGTTATGCAGTGCCTCCTACTCCCATTCCCTTGAGCCAGAAGGATACCATGATGGAAGATCAGTCTCCATGTACTCGCGTCCTTCCCTCCCATTTCTCAGAGAGTTAAGCACCTGGAGCCTTTCCTCTTGGCCCAACTGCATAGGGGGACAGACTCTACTTAGAGAATATGGTCCTGAAAGGAACTATTACCACTGCAACCATTTTGGCCTTTTCTTTTTGAAACTGCCTACAAGGTGCTCTAATCAAGGTATTTTCTTATGAATACATAGGAAAAAATGCTTCTCTTTTTTGTTTGCTTTTTCTTCTGAGAAAGAAAAACCACTCAAGAAGAATGGCAAGAAGGTAAAACCAAAATGAATTAATTTGATAGCTTCTCTCTGTGAGATAGCTTATGGCTATCCATGCCAAGTGAGTCAGAATTGCTTGTATAATATGCGTGGATAACTTAAATATGAGCCAGCAGTGTGCTACAGTTGCCAAAAAAGCCAGTGCAGTCCTAGGCTGCATTAAGAGAGGGATAGAATCAAGATCATGTGAAGTGTTAATATCACTTTATAATCTTGGTAAGGCCACACTTGGAATACTGAATCCAATTTTGGTCGCCATTATATAAAAAGATTTTGAGGCTCTAGAAAGAGTGCAGAGAAGAGCAACAAAGATGATTAGGGAACTGGAGGCTAAACATATGAAGAATGGTGGCAGAAATTGGGTATGTCTAATTTAATGAAAAGAAGGACTAGGGGTGACATGGTAGCACTGTTTCAGTTTCTAAAGGGCTGCCACAAAGAAGAGGGGGGGGTTCCACCTATTCTTCAAAGTACCTGAAGGCAGGACAAGAAGCAATGGATGGAAACTAATCAAGGAGAGAAACAACCTAGAACTAAGGAGAAATTTCCTGATAGAACAGCGGTTCTCAACCTGTAGGTCGTGACCCCATTTGGGGTCGAACAACCATTTCACGGGGGTCACCAAACAATGCAGTCCACCATTTCCCCCCCTTTTCCTTAGCTGTGCTACTCCCTTTTATTCTATTGGCTTTTGAAAGCCAATAGAATAGACTCTCTTGAATAGAGTCTAATTCTATTGGCTTTCAAAAGCCAATAGGAATTGTCCAGGCTGTCTCTGCCCTGCTGAGCCAACCAAAAGTCCCATTCTGCAAACGGTGCTGCAAGTTGTCTGCAGCAAAGGCGAGCTGTCTGGAAGTTTCCACCCCTCTCTGCTGAGCAACTACTAAAAATGTAAGTAAAAGAGGGCCAGGGGTGGGAGGTGGGAGGCCGGTGGGCGCAGGGAGGGTTGCTGGTGTGCGTGGGGCCCAGCGGGTGCCTTACCTCCCTTGGGCTGGGCCAGCTGGTGGCCCAGCCGGTGGTCGGCCTGCTCCGTCTCTGCCGCTTGCCAGCTATCCCTCGGCTGGCGCAGGGGGCGGCACCACGCATGTGGGGCGCTCCCAGGCAGGGAACGTCCTCGACTTACGACCGGTTGGGTAGTCCTCGACTTATGACTGGTTGGGGGTCACGGCATTAAAAAGGTTGAGAACCACTGTGATAGAACAATTAATCAGTGGAATGGCTTTCCTTCAGACGTTTTGGGTCCTCTAACACTGTAGATTTATAAGAAGAGACTGGACATTTGTCTGGAATGCTATAGGGTTTCCTGATTGAGCAGGATTTCGGACGAGGAGACCTTCAAATCCTTTCCATCTCTGATTTTCTGTTGTTATTCTGTTAAGACACCATGAGTGTGATTGTTTGAACATGAACAGACAAAGGGAAATAGGGGTATTTGTATGTTTTGTTAACAGCCTAGTGATCTGTATGTATTTTTAATTATTCCAATATAAAAATGTTTTCTACATATACAGTAGACTTGGTAATAATCTTTTGGCTAAGCCACCATCTTGCATGTTATCTGGAACTCCTAGTTTGTGAACCCTGAAGAGGTGGGCAAGGATAGGTGTCTAGATTGTTTTCTGTCATGTGTAGTTTGGACTGTTGCTTATCCTGGCTGTTGTGAAGAACGGGCAGAGAAGTGACTATCGATTAGTGTTCTGCTGTATTTTGGTCATTAAATTCATGAATTGAATATTGTTTTTAAATCAAACCATGGATGTTTTAGTTTTTTTTCTTACATAACATGTAACCCATTAAGAGTTGTGAAATGGTGGCAGGATATAAATTCAACAAATACTATAATAAATAAATCATTGAAGGAAGAAGGAAACATCATTAGGCAGTTACAGATTTCTTTCAAATATGCTTTTGTTCCTGTTGTGGTGGTCCTTGCACAATGGTGAATAATAGCAGAAACCTTTGTTTGTAATGTTTGCAGAAGGCTTTCAGAAAAAGACAGAGTTATCCAAAATAGAATTCTGCTTTTTTATTGTATTATCTTTTCTCTTTGATAGGTAATGCTGGTAATTGATGCAGCTGTAACTCATTTGGAGAATTTGCATTGCCTGGAGGATTACCTTGCTAATCTTGGCAGGAAACATCAAGCAGTTGGTGTCAAGGTTGAGTCCTTTGAGGTAAGCACTTACAACAGGTTTGCTGTGCCTTGCTTTTTGCTGCAGCAAACTCGCAACTCGCTGCAGGACAACTTGACATGGCCTACTTGCTGCCGGACAATTTTCTGCAGACAACTCCATGCGGGATAACTCAATGCAATAAATGTTATCCATTATTGTTTCTTTGGCACTATTTCCATTGACAAAAATGGAAACAATGTCGAAGAAACAGTGGCAGGTAACATTTATTGTGTTGAGTTAACATGCGTAGAATTTTCCATGGCAAGTTGTCCCGTGGTGAGTTGGCCGTGGCGAAATGGCCATGGCAAGTTGGCTGTAGTGAGATGGCCGTGGCAAGTTGGCTGTAGCAAGATGGCCATGGCAAGTTGGCTGTAGCCAACCCATTGTCCCATTCTGCATTACAGGTACCGGTATTCCTCACTCAGTTACCATTCAGTGAGCAACTGTTTGAAGTTATGGCAGCATTGAACAAATAGTGGTTACAACCAATCCTCAAAGTTACAGCCTGTTGCAACATCCATAGAGTTATGTTGTCAACTTTCAGGTTCTTGGCAGCCCATCCACATTTACAACTGCAACATGCACTTCAGTTCCCCCTACTCACCATCCTGGCCATCTACCCCTGCCACCCCATGTCAGCCTCAGCTGACCTTTGTCACCTCTTCCTCCTGCTGCCAATGAGTGGCTTATACTACAGCAATATACAACAATTAGAACATTAAAATATTAAAAACATTAAAAATTAAAAGATTAAAAATTAACAAAAAACTAGCTAAGAAAAGAAACAATACATAAATGGGGTATAGGTGGGATTTTCTATTCATAAGTTATAGCTAATGGATAAAATCTGAGGATGTATCTTTGATGTCATATTTGGAGATTTGCTCTTCAATGATTCTTATGTTTGTAGTTGTAGTTTAGTAAATAAATCTCTGTTTAGATGCTAAAAGCTTTCAAGTTGTACAGGGCAGTGGAGTAACCATCATAATGCAGTTCTCCCCTTTCAAAATACAATCATGGATGCTGTTGGCAACAAAACACAGTTTATTTGTATAAATATAGTTAACAAAATTGTCTTTTATATTTAGAGACTGGGCATTATTTTTTCAGTGATGGATAGCAACAATAACAAAAATCAAATTAGTAGCAGGTGGAGGGAATGTGACATTCCTTTCTAAGTACAGCGTTCTTGTGGTAGACCATCATCTCTTTCCAATATTAATAAATTATACTTGTCTTGAGATGTCTGCTAACTCTGTAATCTTCCTTGTGATTTGCAGGCTGTAGGGGACTCCTTGCTCTATATGCTGGAGAAATGCCATGGTCCTGCCTTCAAGCTGAATGTGCGTGAAGCCTGGACAAAGCTCTATAGCACTGTGGTGAAAGCCATGAGCTGCGGCTGGGATGTTTGCAGAAAGGTGGAATAATGTCTGATCAAGATGCTTGGAGCGCTTTGCTGTTCTGTGTCAGAAACACCTCTGATGAAAAAGCATGCTCACTTTTCCAGCTTGATGTGTATTTCAGAGCAATCTTGACAGCTTTCTTTCTGTCTCTTGCTTATTTTTGCATTCCCTGTCTCTGTGTGACAGTGTGCTCTAGAATTAAACATAGCAGGTCCATGTGTGGTGGCGTGTAAAACATTTCAATCAAACTGTTTTAAGTACCCAGTTCTGTGAAGCTCCTCCCCACAAGTGTAAAATAATCTACCTTGAGTAATTTGGAACTGATCTGAGCTCTAAACAGGTCTTTTGACCTTAAAATATTTTCAGAAGTCTCAAAACTGCCAATTTTGCATTAAAAAAAGCAACCGACTAACGTTCAAATTGGGGAGTTTTGTGAAGATGAACTGATTCAAAATGAAATTTTACATACCCCTAGTCTGTTTGTAGGTGACAAAAGTGAAGAAACCTGGAGTTGCAGTTATATGTTGACTGCTGTGGCTTTCTTGCCTTTAAGCTCTTTTTTTTAATTAATCATTTTTTAAACAAAAGAATGGACAAATAGAAAAAAGTCTACAATGCTATAGTAACAGTAAGTGGACAGAGATGCAATATTGTACAGTTAGTGCTCAGTATAGCGTTGATAAAAGGTTAGCTATAAAAACCAAAATACATTGTTATTTTTAATAAAAAGAAAAGGTTTTTAAAGAACTTTTTAAACCTCTGTGCTGAATGCATGATTTTCAAAAGCTCTATTCTCTCTGTTTATAAAAATCAACTGCAAAGATTTTTTTTAGCATACAAAGATGATTGGACTAGCCAGTTTTTTTGTTTTTGTTTTGGTAAGGAAAGCTTGGTATTCTTTCTGTAAATTGTGGGCATTTCTTTGGGATTATATAAGCAGTATAGTTTTTTTTTCTCCAAAAAGTGGGTTAATTCTTCTATACACTATACACTGGAAAAAAGTTGGGCTTTTCAAATGCTTAGTCTCAAGTTACAATTTAAAAACCAGTAAGTATGCAGTATCTGCCAATTTCTTCTGTGCAAAAATAAAATCTTGAAGTGGACTTACAACTGATGGAGGGAAAAGCTTAGGAAAATGTTTAGACTTGTCCTGATTTTTAGCTGAAGAGATCCATCCCATAACATCACTTTTTGTCAATTGCTAGGTTCTCATATCTTCTCTTCTCCTCAAGGCACTGTTTTACAAGTCTATGGGTGCCCATAGAAGGGAAGAGAAGGCAAGAATGATCAGCAAGGTGAATGGATTCAGTTACAGTAGCAATGGAAGACCTGAAGAATCGAGATAGGGACAGATCATCATGGAGAAAATCAATCTATGTGGTGTTAAGAGCTGACAGTGACTTGATGGCACACACTCAAGCATGAGTACCTGATAAGACAACTTACCTTTCTGAGTTTTAATTAAAACTACCTTTCTAGTTCTTGATCTAGTGCCTGCTTTGAAAGTAAGTAACAATTCCTTAATTTCTGGAGCAGGGAAGCAGCATTTAAAATAGTTCAGTATTCTTCCCTTTTGCTGTTCTTTCTCAGGAGGTAAATTGACTCATACCGGTAGGAAAAAAATCCATGGGCTTTCTGTATAAAGAGGCAATGTGCCTTTCTTTATGGTAGGGCAAGAACAATACATGACAATAGGATGATAGAGGGGCTTGAGGTTCTATTACCAAACTATTGAGCTAAGCATATAACCTTGGAAATACAGTTCTACACTGAATTATTCCACAAGCACCATTGCAATCATTCCAGGACTAAGAAAGACCTGATTATCTTTGCAGATCATGAAAAGCTAACTTTTATAAAACCTTCTTCCCAAATAAATTAGTTAGAATTTGAGGTGCCAAAATCTTTTGATTGCTTTTCTGAAAACACTGATGCAACCATTCTTTGGGAAAGTATGAATAGAAATATTTTCAATTATTTCAGAATTATATCTTGAGCTATTACTTAATATTTGAAACTACATAGTTTTGATGGTAACACATGGATAATTTTCTAAATAAAGTGGAAACAATTATTTGCCTGTTATCATGCTTCATGCCTGAAATTTTGCCTATAAAAATCAGTTTACAGTCCCACCTTGGCATTTATTTAGCTATTGCAGTATCATTGTACGAGATATATATTCTTTTGTGTTACACACACATGCACACAGGTACATTTCCTTCCAAACAGGCCAGGACAGTTACTTTGAAGGATGTCAGAAATTATCAGAGGATGCCATGTATTCTAGAATGTAATGATGATGTCAGAATCTTCAGCGGAGTTTATTTCTTCTGTGTATGTAGCATAATATTCATAATATTTGTGAGAACATGGATGCATAATACTGGATGACAGGAAATGAATGCTTTTAATTATTGGTCCTCTTATTCTTTTGTCAGCTTGTGATTGTGAGGTTCACAGATGCTCAGGAGTCGACATGTGTGGAACACACTTGTCTATGAAATGACAAACATTAACTACATTTAAAAGCCCATTTGCTACTTTAGCTGGTGTGTGTATTTCATTTCTGTGATAGAAGTGCCCTTCATTTCCTAATATGCCATCCTATTTCTCCTTCAGTCTAACCCTTCTTCTCTAATTATTTCCGCATAACTGCCTATTTTTTTCATCATCTTGAATGTTTCTGAGCAACCCCAGTGAACAAAGTCTCCTCTTATCTTCCTTACTTCAAGACACTCCAATGGGGGATTCCTGGAATATTGAATCACATTTTATTTGACAGTGTGGGGAAGCTGCAGGCACCAGCAGGAATTATCAGATAAGCCCTCTGGGGAGAAAAAATAGAATAATGAAGGAAAGTAACATAAAAGAGGAACATGCATCATATGTCTCCTCACTGATCAGATTTTATATTGATATAATAAAATACCTGTCTAGGTTCTTCTAATGGCTTCTCTCTTAGTACAGATGTTGATATTATTTTTGGAATGAAGTCTTAGATTAAATGGCAGATTTCTGTTGGCTATTTGTCAGCGTGGCCCTCTAAAAGTAATAGAATCATAGGTTTTCAGTATTAGGCTCATGTAACATATTTAGCACATCTACAGAGCTAGTCTGATGGGATACAAAAAACTCAAAAACCATCCCTTGGCCTGCACGATAACTGCTCTGTTTCCTTTCTCCTCTCTAATAGTTTTCTTGTGGTCTGCTCTATTTTTTGGCCCTCAATTCATCATTATCCAATAAACACAAATATGTCTGAATATGACTGCAGATAGCTATGGAATATGGTTGGCTAGCAATAGTACAAAATACGATCAGATGCTCTGTTAGTCATCAAAAAGCCTTTTATTTTCCTTTTCCTAGCTGTGCATAAATATATTGTTTTTTTTAAAAAAAGTGTTCCCCATTGAATCTTCACACAGTTCTGCAGGGCTTGATTCGTTCTTATGCCTATTCAATTAGTATCCCATCTAATTAGATAATTGCAAACAAGTGGCTCAGAATTATGATTGAATTTTGTTTCCTTGAAGAAACAGGAGCAGAGAAGCATCTGGATCTGGAATGCGCTGCTTGCAATTGCAGTGGCAGTTCAAATTATCATCCAAAATGCCAGAGCTATTTTATACCTCTTCTAGTTTTTGTCTGTTTTTTTGTTTGTCTGCATGCAAGGGCACACATGTACACCATATTTTGTTAAATTCTCTAAAGAAATAAAAAACAACATTTAGTGAATGTCAATCCTCCATTATCATAGCTGTATATTTAATCCACTAGGAATCTAGATGGTGTCATCAGCACTTTAGAAAATGTTGTTTATTCCCTGAATATGCCTGCTTTTTCCAATAGAATTAGGTCCATGTATACCTTGTCTCTCAGCCCATGGAGAATGCTGTCATTTTTTTTCTTCTTTGATTGCTATCACAGAAGTGAAGGAAGATAAATCATGGCCACATAACTGGATTATCCTGTCTTCTGTTTAGGGATTATAAGAAACCAAATGTATCTGGCTGGTAGTATCTATTCAGGCTGCTATCATTTTTGCAGGAAAAGACCATTTGTGCCCTTGAGTTCAATAACTTGCTTAGTGAAGGAATTCAAATTCTAGCATCACTGGCTGTTCATCTGCTGGTTGACTGTATTCCATAAAGACAGCCTACCACTTTTTCAGATAGTTGATTCTGTTACTCAACTGCTCTTCTTCTTAGCAAGTTTTGTTTCTTACCTTCAGGAGATGTCTTTGCTTTCCTTAACATTATTCTGTGTCTTGCACTCTAGAACAATAGAAAATAGGTCTTCAACTTCTACTGCATGGCAGTCTTTCAGATATGTAAAGAGTATACCATACTCTTCCTCCTTGTTCTTTAGACTGGATATTCTTTATTCCTTCAATCTCTCTTCATAGGCCTTGATTTCTAGTCTCTCAGTCTTGCTTGCTACACTTCTGTGAGCCTTACAATTTGTCTGAATCCTTCCTAGAGTTTGGTGCTTAGAAAATGACCAAATATTTAAGCTGGATTCTGACCAATTGAAAAAAAATTACATTTGTCTCTATTAAAAATTGCATGCTGTTATTTACAGCTGATTTCTCTTAGTCAAGTATCAAGATTGATTTGAGTTTTGTCTTCCAGAATATTAGCTATTCCATCCAATTTTATATAAACTGAAATTGGATAATTATAATTTGAAAAGCAGCCATTCAGTTTTTCAGATATTCAAAAATCCATATTGTCATTCTACTAGATGCCAAATACAGTCCTTAGAGTCACCATTCTAGGTGTAAAATATATATTCTCCTACTGAATATATATTTCTCCCAGAGTGTCACAGGTTTTCTAGTTCAAGACAAGATGGAAGAATTGCAATAGTGGTTCAGTTCTAGATTCTTCCCACCTCCAGAAAGAATTCTTATTGGGTAGTACTATATGTCTTATATTGCTCTACATTCATCTCCATTTTGAATAAGTGATATGGATAATGATAGATGAAAACTGAGGAGCATAAATGTTTAAAGCATTTCATGTATTTCCAGTTTGCAGGTTGATCCTTAACACTAAGGAAAGCAGCTTTTTGATTCTCCCTATGTTCCACTTTGATCTTAAAAGTATGTGCTACTATTGCTTCACACTTCTGGGATGTGCTAGGTGTGGACATAGAAGGACCTGGATTTGCTGAAGATTCCAAAACTCTTGAACTTTTGAAACCCACATTTTAGGTAATTCCTTCCTAAAGCAAAAGGAGTCACTATTATCCCTACACAGCATTTATCCGATCTAGAGCTTTTCTGTGGTCTTATATTATAGCAACAATTTTTGCAAGAGCAAGCTGGCTTTCTGATTTCCATAGAAACAGAAGGAAGAATTTGCCAAGGCAGATGGTTGCCTGCAACAGCAGCAGCAGGTAGCCCTTCCTCACTGCCTGAGAGTCATGGGGATTGGGCTTCTAGGTGAGAGTAAGCTAACAGTACAGAACAGATAAATTGCAAATTATTTAAATTAGAACAATATTAGCTTGATCTGATAGTGAGAGATTTAAGAATATAGGAAGGGACTTTTAACGTCCCTATAAATGAAAGGACTAAGTTGAGACACTTTCCTATATTGTGTTCCTTCCCTTTTGTCTATAATTGATTTGTGTGTGGATGTTATGCTAAATGGATGCTGGATCTGACCTCATAAGATGCTGTTAATGTTCTCTACTGCTGACCTCAAGAGTTTATACAACCATGTTCATTATGTAACAATTTTGTTATGTGAAATTGCCACCACGTACCAATTTTAATAAAAGCTAAGTTAAGGCTCCTGGAGTAATTGTATTTATTGTTTGATTAATGTGACCTTGTGTCAACCATCCCACTCAGTCATCTAGCAAAGAAAGACTCCTGACTATTTGTTTTGCAAAGAGTATACTTTACTGAAGCTTAAATAACTACAGAATTAGTGAAAGCTACAGAAACTACAGAATTAGTGAAAGGAAAGTTCCCTTTCCCCGCATGGCCATCCCCTGCTTATCTGCAGATGTCCAATCAGGTGCTTGCATATTGTTCAGGAAACAAGTGCTTGGTTCCCAGTTCTGTATATCGTTACTTGACCTTGGCTGGCTGGAGCTTCTCACAAGGTTCAGCTGGGCTTTCATCCCCTGCTTTCCTTACATTCCAATCCTTCCATCTCCTCCCCTCCCCCATGCTGTCAGGCTGTCAGCTCATGAAGCTTGGATAGGTGAGATGCAACCATGACATACTTCAGTAAGGCATTTGACAAAGTAGACCATAACCTACTAATTAAGATAGAAAAATGTGGGTTAGACAGCATCACCACCAGATGGATTTGTAGCTGGCTGACCGGCCGTACTCAGTGTGTGGTCCTCAATGGAATTGCATCTACATGAGGAAAGTGTGTAGTGGGGTGCCCCAGGGCTCTGTTCTCGGCCCAGTGCTCCTCAACATCTTCATCAATGATTTGAATGAGGGAATAGATGGGGAACTCATCAGATTTGCAAATGACTCCAAGCTGGCAGAAATAGCCAACACTCCAGAAGATAGGCTTAAGAAGGATCTTGATAGACTTAACATTGGGTGCTATCTAATGAAATGAAATTCAATGGTGAAAAAAATAAGGTTCTACATTTAGGCAAGAAAAATCAAATGCACAGATACAGAATACAATAGATGGTACCTTGCGCAATAGTAGTAACTGTGAGAGGGATCTTGGAATCCTAGTAGACAATCACTTAAATATGAGTAGTGTGCTGCAGCTGCCAAAAAAGGTCAACACAGTGCTAGACTGCATTAACAGAGGGATAGAATCAAAATCAGGTAAAGTGTTAATACCACTTTACAATGCCTTGGTAAGGCTACACTTGGAATACTGCATCCAGTTTTGGTCACCATGTTGTAAAAAAGATGTTGAGACTCTAGAAAGAATACAGAAAAGAGCAACAAAGATGATCAGAGGACTGGAGGCCAAAACATAAAGAACTGTTGCTGGAATTGGTTATGTTAGTTTAATGAAAAGAAGGACTAAGGATGACATGACAGCAGTGTTCCAGTATCTCAGAGGTTGCCACAAAGAAGAGGGAGTCAAGCTAGTCTCCAAAGCACCTGAGAACAGGACAAGAAGCAATGGATGGAAAATAATCAAGGAGAGAAGCAACCTAGAACTAAGGAGAAATTTCCTGACAGAACAATTAATCAGCCGAGAGGCTGAGCTGGGCGGCACAAATCTAAAAAGAAGCACGAGGCCACTCAGCTCCCAGTCTGCCCGAGTTTCAGCAGGCAGTGGGGCACTTTCCTCACAGCGCCAAGAGCTGAGCCGGGTGGCGCGAATCTGATGAGAAGTGCAATGCTGCCTAGCCCCCAGTCTGTCCAGTTTCAGCAGGCAGCAAGGTGCAAAGCTGATGAGCTTCGCACTGCCTGGCTCAACCTCTCGGCGCTGTGAGGAGAGTGCTCCGCTGCCTGCTGAAACCAGGCTGGCTGGGGGCTTGGCAGCATTGCGCAGGTATCCCCTCTCCCAGAGCCCACCAAGCCAGATATGTGAACTAGGTGAGGGCCATGTGCTGGCTACTTCCAGGTAATGGTGCATTTCTTCATTCCTCACGAAGGGTGACACCTTCCCAGCTGTATTTCTTGCCTGTTTTTCTCCTTACCTCATCTCAAATATTTTCCCACCACTCTATACTTAGGAAGGAAGGAAGGAAAGAAGGAAAGACGGAGAGGGAGGGTCTGAGGGAACTCTTGTCTTAGTTCGGCCCTGCTGCCCTTTCCCCATCCCCTTGCCCCCTCCTCCTGGCCTATCCTGGGGGTCTCCCATCCTATTGCTAAGGAAGCTTTGGATACAAAGCCAAGTCTACTCTATGGAGAGGGAATAGGCCTCCCTCTGACTTTGCCTTCGTACCCATCAAAAACAATCTGGCTAAGGAGAGCAAGCACAGCAGCAAAAGCCTTGAGAAAGGGGATAAGTGCAGCTGGGCACCCCCTTGGGTGGGCTGGGCTTGGTGCCGTGGGTGCTCGAGGGCCAGGCTGGGCATTTGACCTCTGCTGCCCAGGGCTCCAGGCAGCCCGCACCACCATCCAGCCCCCCCCCTGCATGGCCTGAGAGGAACAGTAAGGCTCCTCCAGTGGACCATGCCTTGGCACTTGCCCTGGTCTCATCCCTTTCTGCCAGAGTCCCTCAAATCTGTCTCATTCCTGCCCAGGCCCCCACAGGCACCCTTGAGGCAAATGATGTAGAGCTGGCCATGCCCACCCAGTAGGCCACACCCACTCCATCCATGCCCACCCAGTAGGTCACACCCATCCTGGCCATACCACCTGGCCCCCCAAGGGCAACCGCAATGCTGATGCGGCCCTCAATGAAATTGAGTTTGACACCCCTGTTCTATACTGAGAACCAACATTGCAATAAAAGGATTATTCTGCATAAGGTGGTTTCAAATTGCATTCTAAACAAAATAACGCAGTCAACTTTTGTGAACAATGTGTAAATCAGATTTGTAATTTATGCTTTCATGGTAACAAGACTTGAAAGCGTGTTCCTACTACTACCATATTCCCACTCCCTTACATCTCTCTTGCCCACCGGGTATTCTATAAATATATTGGAATTCAACTCATGAGAGATTAGAAAAATTAGTTCAACTGTACATTTGATAAGTACCAAATTGGGGTAGACTGCCATGCAATTTTTTTTTTCAGAGCAGATTTATACCACATTTTTTAATAGATCAGCTGTAACCAACAGTTACTTCATAAGCCAACCTACCCCAGAAAGTACTTTTATTTGGGCTTCTGGTAGTTTGCCAATTTTAATAAAAATATGTATGTATATGAGTTTGTGTTTAAATGTTTATTCCAGGAAGGTCAAGAAGTAGTATACCCTTCTGGAAAATATTGATGCCAGAAGGACTTTATTTTTTGTTGTGTTAGATCAGCCTTTAATGATATTATGCCCACATATACAACTATTGCTACCACTTCTCATTCTTTATGGATACCAAAATAATTCCACATTTTGTTTTTTGTATTCTGTGGAGGAAGGCAATGGAAGAAATGAAGGCTGATATTCTCACAGAAAAATCCTGGACATTATTTTCAGTCAAATAATTAGGGGAACACTTGTAGCATTACACCTTCTCTTTCTTTACTTCTCCCTTTTGTGGCTCAATACTGTCAAATGGATAATGGTTCAGAGTTGACGATCTATAATTTTTTTCTACTCAATGGCCAGAATAACCTATGAATGCATTTATTTGGAAATGATCAATTTTTTTGCCAGTGTTTTGCCCTAATTTTAGTTCAGATTTTGATTGGCTTGAGTGGAGTTTTTGTAGTATGCATTGTACTTGGTTAGCCATATAGACAGTGGCTGCCAGTGAATTACATCTCTTATTTGCTTTGGTTGTTAAGATTTAGACCATTTTGATTGGATTACAGCAGTGTTTCCCAAACTTGACAATTTTAAGGCATGAGGACTTCAACTTCCAGAATTCCACAGCCAGCAACGCTGGCTGTGGAATTCTGGGAGTTGAAGTCCTCATGCCTTAAAATTGTCAAGTTTGGGAAACACTGGATTACCGAAACACCAGAACCTTTACATCCTTCATGGACACTTACTTGGCATCTTAAATCACAAGAGATTCAATCAAGCAAAGCATTATTTTAATGGTGATTCTGGTTTTATAGTACAATTTAAATATTCAGAAGAATATTTTACTAAATTGAGAAGATTATCTAAAATTGATCAGGCTTTATCCCAGATCTTTGTTGCAAAGGTAAGAACTCCTAAACGGGAATACACTTTTGTAGGCAAGTCTCTGAGTTATCATCTGAAGTCGAGAAATCTTTGAATTGTATTTGAGCTTCTCTCTTGGGCATTATGAGTAGTTGATGGGAGAGTGGAAATCTTCAGTTTGATGCATTAATTAGGCTTGTTTTCATGGGTCCACAAGGGTTTATTGGGTCTGATTTTTCCCATTTGTTTTGGTAGAATTACTGTACCACAGGCCTGTGAAAAGCCCACCTCACTTTTTTTTTATAGTCTTTTGTTTCTTTCTTTAGAGATTTCCCTTCTAGTGTAATTGGATTCTGATTGTTCTTTTGTTAGCTAATTGGGTGTTATAATCACCACATTATTAGCTTGGCATAAACAGTACTTAATAATTTAAGCCTCAGAAGGTTTAGAGGACCTAAAATCAAAACAATATAGATTAATGATGTTGCTACTTCCACCCCTTCCCCAGCTGGGCTGACTTCTAAGAAGCATTTGAGTGAACTCAGGATCTCCAACTCTTGCTTTTGCAAAGAAAAGAAAGTTAAATTGCCCACTTCCCTTGGAAGTGTGACAGAATACTTTTTCCTACAGGGAACTTCTCTGCTCTTGTTGGAATCAAGCAAGAGTTTAGAATTTATATACAGTATGTGTTTACCCAGGGTTCCATATTTCTTGGGGAATTCAAATGAGAAGACTTAAATCAGTAGTTATTTGACCTCAATCTCCTAAAGGTTAATGGGGATGGCAATATATTCTTATTGCTTATTTCAATTAGGTAGAGGTGTTAGAATAGCAAAACGGACTAAGAAAGAATACTATATGGGAGAATTGGGGACTTTATGTCAAGTGCGTAACCTCACAACTCTTCCTTGCAAATTGTGGTCTAAGGTTACATGTCTGTCTTTGCTGGACACATTTTGGCTAAAGGCAGAATTGTATAAGATTGCTGGGGTGGGATTACAGCTGCATGCAAGAATTGAAAGATGTGGCAAGATTTACTGTACCCCTTCCTCCCTTGGTACCAATTTCTCTCTGCAAT